AGAACAGAAGGAAGCTTCCATTAAGTTATGGCCATCTCATCTCTCCACCTCTCTCCCCACCATCTCTCAGTAGCCTACCTGCACCATGCTTATATATTCCACCTTTTCTCCAATTACTATGGATCAACTATCCACGTTCCTGGCAAAGGCCTACCCTCCTACTGCGTATCAGATAGTATCCCCTCATGCTTAACATTGCTCTAGCAAATTCCCCTGCATCAATTTCCCCCTCTCTATACGATCCTGCCAATCACTGCGAAATGTTATATTCCTATTTTAAAAAAACCCAGCAAACTTCAACCCTGCTTCTTTCTCCAGCTACCACTTCACTTCTCTTCTTTCCTTTATAACAAAACTCCTTGAAAGAACTGTCTATACTTGTAGTCCCCAAGTCATACACATGAATGACACCAATCAGGCCACCATACCACCAAAATGACACTCATTAAGGTCACCAAATAACCCCTACAACTGCCTAATCCAATGGTCAGTTTTTAGGCCTCATCTTATTTGGTATGCCAGAAACATCAGATCAAATTCATTCCTCTCTCCTCTTATTTACTTGGCTTCCAGGGTACAACACTCTCCTAGTTTTTCTCTTACTTCTCTGGTTGTGGCTGCTCAGTAGGCTTTAATGGTATTTGTCACCTCCTCAACCTCTATACACCGGGGTACCCCAAGACACCAGGCCTAATTTTTTCTATCTATACCTATCTTCACCCTGTGTGATAATGAACCTCACATCTACAGTCTCAATCCTGAACTGCAGAATTGAACATCTAAATGTCTCCCTGACATGTACACTTGGGTGTTTAATAATCATATCAAACAACATGTCCAAATGGAACTCCAGCTGTTACCTCCCAAACTTGCTCTTCCTGCAGGGATATTTATCTAGGTTAATGAAACTCCATCCTTTTAGCTTCTTAAACAAAACCTCTGAAGTCATCCTTGATAACTCTCCCATACAGCCCCACATCTGATCCCTCAACATATTCTGTTGGCTCTGTCTTATAAATATATCCAAAATTGAATGACTTCTCATCATAGCTTCTGCTACTACTCTGGTCTAAGTCACCATCATCACTTCCTGGATTATCTCAATGGCTTTTTAAAAGTAGCTTTTTGCTTTTATCCTGACTACCTTACTATTTATCCTCAACACAGGAGTAAGAATGATCAAGTTAAAAGTCAAATTATGACACTCTTCTGCTCCAAACCCTCTGGTGGACTTCTGTCTATCAACATAAAAGCCAAAATCTCACAAGAATTTATTTTTCTACTACTATTCCCTCCCTTTCCTTTGCCTGCTCCAGCCCTAGGGGCCAGCCAAGCTAGCCTCTCTGAGGAAGAGAAAATATGCCAAGCATGCTCCTGCTTTAGGGCCTGTGTACTTTTATCTGCCTTGAATACTCTTCTTTAAAATATCTACATGGCTTACTATTTCACTTTCTTTACTCAAATGCCACCTTTTAATTGAGGCCTCCCTGGTCACCTAATATAAAATTTTGATAGCATACTTTACCCTTGCCCTTCTCCCTTTCCTATTTCCTTTATTCCTAAGCCCTTATTGTTATTTGACACAGTATATATTTTACTTTTTTATCTTGTTTATTGCCTCTCACACTAAGATGTTAGCTCTATTTACATCTTCAGGATTTTTAAAATTATTTTGTTCATTGCTGAATCCCTAGCAACTAAGAACAGGGCCCAGCACATACTGGGTGTTTAAGAAATACTTGTTGAATAAATCCACCACTGTAGTACCTTGTATAAATGATAAACATGGTAGTGCTTGGGAAGTACTTATCAAAAAGAATGAATGGCAAGAAGATACCAAACATACCAAAGCAAGATCAAATCTAGCTTATTACTCTGTACTATAGGATTAAACTAGTCAAACCATAAAAAACTTGGAAAGTACATGATATCCTTACCTAGGCCAGGTCTTGACTCTTTTTTCTTCTGAGAGGCCCAACCCACCATGGAAAATTTATCACTTCCTGGTTTCTCCTCTAAGCCTCTATTCAAGCGCCAGATTTTTAGTGTATTGTCATCAGAACAGGTAGCAATCTAAGAGGAAGCACCAAGAAGAGAATTAAGAAATTTTAATCAAAGATTCACAATACATTAAAAAAACAGGTGTGTCTTAAGGACTTGTGACTGGAGAATTATTTTGTCTAATAAACAGGATATAGAAAATAATATCTGAAAGATCATGTACATCCATTTCTTGCTTTCAGGAATCATTCCAGATTTCCAACAAAGCTGACTCTTTAGTTTCTTCTTCATATACATTCTACTAGTATGTCTTTTGTTAATGGTCATTTCTTATCTAATCTAAAGTTCTGCTATAAAACCTGGCTCTTTATTATCTTCTGTATAAATACAAAATATGTAATTAAGACACCCTTTTTACGCTTCTGTTAAATAATCAATCAGTTTATGTTACCAACATTCAATTTCTACAATTTTCTTCTGAATTCTGCATTTTGTGCCACATTGCTAAAGTAATGGCACCATTTGCAAGATCAGACTTGGCCCATGTCTCTAGTAGGCTGTGACAAGTAGAAGGAAACCATTCCTTTTGAAATTCTTTTTCAGATAGGTAAAGGAGCAATCTGGGAAAACAACAAGTTCACTAGGCTGAAAGAAGTTAAAAAATAACCTTTGCCCCTTTAAAAATATCTGACTATTCTCGATCTTGGTCCCAAGCCTTTTATGGCAGAGAAAGTCCAGCTTGAAGAGCTTGTGGCAAATGGCCACTGGTACCAGAGCTGTTCCTCAACATTTGTTTATATAATTTCTCTATTTCAGTCACTAAAGAGAAAGAAAAAAAGAATACACGTTCTCTTAAGTCTTGGCCCCCAAGAGACTGGCAGCTTTTTCCTTTCCTTACTGGGAGGCCAAAAGAAGATACACATATTTAACTGTTCAATATGAAATGTTTGGAATCTCACAGTTCCTCTATAGTTTATTAACAATAGTTATTTACAGAGCATCTACTGTGTGTCTGGTAGTTTACATTCTTTATCTTATTTAATTCTCACACTCTAAAAGCTTTGTACTCAAATAATCTCATATGCAAAATGGGAATAAAGTTATTTGCCCAAAGTAACCACAATCAAATGGAGGAACTAGAATTTAAACCAAGCTTTCTCTTATTCTAAATGTCAGACATTAAAAACACAAAAACAACACAAACCATATCCTACTTTCCTAATTCTAGGCTTGGGATGAAATTATTTTTAAAAGACTTAAAAAAGTAGCCAATACATTAGTATAGATAAACAGCCCTGGTATTTCCTTTGAGCACAGGAAATAAGGATAATTAATATATGATGTCTGAGATGCATAGGGGTAAGGATAATATATGACGATTGAAAAAAGATAACATAATTAACTGAATAATTCGAAAATCATTCAACTTAGTAAGTCCATGAAGATGCAACACTCCATGTTAAAAGTAGACATTTCACTAGAAATTACATGGAATCTCAGAGAAAAAAACATCATTAACATGTAATTTAGGGTGATTAAAGTAATGACTGAAAAAAAAGAAAAGGTCTGCCATGAAGTTGAGCACAGAAATGGTAACAAGAATAAGGAGAAATCCACAGCAATACTGGAAGCTAGCAGGGATGCCACAAATATACCAGACCATGAGAAGTTTCTGGAAGATAAAAAACAGATGGGAACAATAGGCAACAAAACCTCAAAATGTCATACGTGAAAGGGGAGACCTCCACAGAAATAAGATGTCCTGTAAAACCCAGAATAACTCAAAGACCAGAGGCAATGGGGGTTGGGAGAATGACCGGAACTTGAGCTACTATTACATGAAATTCCAATATATACATAGGTTTTAATGTTTCTGGCCTTTCTACATTTTAGGGGTTTTTTTGTTTCTTAAAGTGTCGCTATAAAAAAATTAAAAGGTGGGCATATTGTCTTCTTTCTGGAGTATCTAAAACATTTCAGACCTACTTACATAGTTTAGCAACAGATAACCTAACATGTTAAGACTTCACAGTAACCATTTTGTTAGTCATATGTGAAAGCCCAAATGAGGCTGTCAAGATGTTACCTTTAATATACTACATTGATAGTATCTAAAAAGTAAAAAAGACTAGTTCTCACCTTAGATTGTATTTTTATCTTAGATTTTAATAGAAAACTTTAATTAAGTTAACAACTTAATTCTACATTTAGGAAAGAAATAACTCTATGGAACCAGAAATCTATCCTTATTTCACAGGGCATAATACCATTATGGTATGGGTAGAGAAAAGCAGAATATGCTTGAGTAATGTGAATATAGATCCTGGATGGCACCTAGATCTTTAAAATCTCAAACATAAAAATTTATATAATTCTCAAAACAAACCTTAGAAAAACCTATAAACCTGTGATCTACATTTTAAACCAACTATAGAGATTCATTTACAAACCTTTGTGAAGTCAGACGGACACCAGCACACAGACGTGACCTCTTGAGAATGACCCAGGAGCACAGTAGGAGGTTGCCAGGGTGTGGAGACCTAGTCCAATCAAAAAGAAACAAGTCAGCAAAGCAATGTTAGATTTCCCAGATAGAGGCCTTTGAATTCAGAAGTGTGTCTTAGAGAGTTTTAGGATTGTTACCAAAGGCCACTAGACCTGCCTAGATATAGTCTGGGGGGAAAAAAAAAAGATTTCCAATGGGCAATGAAATATTTCTGTTACTGATCTGGGAAAACACAATGAAAACAGCCAAAATAAGTAAATAATATGAGCTTACACACAAGGATAGTTCTTATTTCATATCAGGACAACCTAGCCATATATATTTTGACTAAAATTCAAGACTGGCATTGTCCCTCATTCCTTAGGTGGTAAACTTTCTGCAAGGATGTTATCCATCCTTAAGTAGTCAACTTGACAACTCAGTCCTGTTTTTACACAGCACAGACATTGTCAGATCTCTAGTCAGCTACTTCTAGGAACACTAAATTAACTGTGAAACTTGCAGATTTCCGAAACATGCTACCAGCTCTCTTGGGACAAAACGACGGTCTTCCTTCCAAAACAAGACCGTTCTCTTGTCCCAACAGAGCTGGTCAGTAACTTTTACCAAAACCCAAAGTTATACTCCTTCATTTTGAGTTGGATAACCTTCATTCTGAAGGGATATAAACTATATTTTACATGGCACTTTGGTATCCTTTCTGGAAAAACATTTTTTTTCCTCTAAAACTTTATTTCAGTTAATTTTCTGAGAGAAGTTTTGAATTTTCAAGTAAGTGTCACTCACATTTTAATAAATTTTAATGTAGAAAGAAGGGTCACATTGTACTGTCCTGTACACGTGACTAAGAATCGTATTTTTCCATCATCAGGTGCCACCAGTTATGTGCATTTAACAGCATCATACAGCTGACTCATTCAAGAGATGTCAATCTCTTTCATAGGCCATGGGAATTAATCAGCACAATAAGGAGTACAAACTCACATAACTATTATTAGCATGTGTGTTTCAAAAGAGCAAGGAGGTTGGGGCTGAGAGAAGTTATTCTCTTTCCATTTTCCTGAGGCTCTGAATCATGGCTCATTTGTATAAAGAAAGTGGAGGTGACTCTGGAATGATTATTTGTGGGAATGACTAAGTAAACTTAATAGATTCCCCATATTATAGTTAAGAGATCTGACACACTGATTGATAAGGTTATTCAACTCAATCATTAAATGGTTTAAATGGTACATATGCAATAATTCAAAAAGCAAAAGAATACAACGAGCAGAGTCTAACCTGTCTTGCTGAGTAAATTAAAATTTAACAAAAAGGAGGCTTTTTCCACATCCACAGGAACCTCACTTACTGCCTACTCCTACAATGGCACAGAGATAATTCGTTCTCACAAGGTAAAATATTTTAGAAAAGACTTTAAAGATCGTCTCTAACTATCCCAGCAGTCACAGAAATTTTCCTTTCCTCTTCCATTTGGGAAGGCCCCAGTCTATTAAGTTTCTCTTCACCCAAGTCCAAACAGGTCTGGTAGCAGCAAATTAAAAAGGAGAGGAAATCCTCAAGTCCTACTGAGCATCCCTGGTAGAAACACATTATTCTCTTCCATTGGTTCACCCTGCTTATTGCCTCTAGCTTTTAATTTCATGATATTGGTCCTTCCTCAGTTTCTGTATTATAATACCTAGAAGAACCTAAATGTGTACACCAAGGATTAAAATAAGTTTTCAAAAAACCCCCGAAATACCCACCAATAGAATATATGCACATTTTTGCATTTATCTATAGGGTTTCAGAGAAAAAAGAAACAGACCCATAAGAAAAACATTTTGGAATATGATAACAAGGTATCAATGACGACAGTAAAAGTCTAATCCAGGCACTTTACATAGCATTAAAAGTGGGGGGAAGGTTCCTCAAAAAGTTAAACAATTATATGACCCAGCAATTCTATTCTTAGGAATAGAATTCTGTTCCTATACTCCCAGGAGAATTAAAAACCTATGTTAAACAAGAACTTATACACAAATGTTCACAGCAGCTTTATTCATGTCAAAAAATGGAAACAACTCAAATATCCATCAACTGATGAATGAATAAACAAAATGTGGTCTATCCGCACAATGCATATTACTTATATAACATGGATGAACCTTGATGATATTAAGTAAAAGACGTCAGACACAAAATGCTGATTTTGTATGATTCCACTTATACGAAATGTCTGGAATAGCAAATCCATAGAGACAGAATGAGGTTTAGCAGGTGTTGGGGAGGAAGAGGGGATTAGAGAGTGACTTAACTGTTAAAGGACACAGTTTTTTTTCTGGTGTGATGATGTTTGGGAATCAAACAGTGGTGATGTTGGTACAACACTGTGATTACAATAGTAAGTACTCCATTGTAAACTTTAAAATGACTAAAATGGTGAATTTTATGTTATATGAATTCTGTCTCAATAAAGAAAAGTTGAGGGAAGGGCATGTTATGGGTTAAAATGAGAAACGAATGTCTAACAAGTTTTTATGAACTTTTATGCTTTGATAGTTTAAGACTATCCTAGGGTATAGTATGACTACTTCAAGAAAGATTCATTTCTTCTAATGAGATTCAGGTGACTTTTAAATCCTTCATTTTTATTCAAATAAGTTTTTATTTATGTCCCTACATTATTATAAGAACATTATCATAATTATATAACTTCATTTTTTAAAGCTTCCTTTCCCTTTTAAGTAGGAAGAAGACTATTAAATCTAAGAGACATTTATATCCATGCATTTTGGAGATACTCAGACACAGAAGACTGTCCTCTCTTACATATTCTACCTTTTGTAAAATAAAGACTTCAATTCAAGGCACAAGGAATCCCAAAGTTAAATCTCCTAGAACTATGAAGGTACCTCTAGAAGTAAATGGCTCTAACCTACAGATCTCATAAAGTTATTCTGTGTACTGAAACATACAAAGAAGATCAGCACTTTTTCTCACAAAATCTCTTCTCTGCCCAGTTGGAAACCAAGTCTAATCTTTATTTCTGCCATGAGATCATTTACACTTCCTAAAGTGTCAGGCTCAACGTTTCACCAGTCAGTGGTAGAATGACTATGCCAAATCAGTTTATTTATAACCACTTCGATGCTATTCAGTGGCTATATCAGAAACAAACCAGAGAAAAGAGGATGGGGTGAGGGTGGGACAATAGTTAGGAAATAAAAAAGAAAAGGTATAATATTAAATCTTTTTAAGTCTTAGACCTCAATATCAGTCTGAATATATTATATTTCCCCTTTGCTGGGCAGTAGTGAGGATTAAAAAGCCATTCTTTTCTGTCTTAAGATACAAAACTCCCTTCTATTTTGTTTTCTTGTGCCCATGGGGCTTTGGCTTTTTAGCATAGAACAAATTCCAATACTTAAGATAATTCTGACTTTTTAACACGTAGAAGAGCAATCTAACAGCCTGGATATTCAGCTTGAATGGAATTGCTCTTAAAATACTACTCCTCCTTTTTTTAATCATGGAAAAGAGAAACTGAGCCACCTCACTAGGCAAATTCAATTTTAGGAGGTGCAAGCTTGCCAGGATCTCAAATATCAGAGCCTGTACACCGAGTTATGTGTGGACAGGCAGAAGAACATCACATCTGAACCACGTCATTCAACACTGACATGTGATCCAGCCTAGGAATTAAAAAAGGGTGACCCATGTATGTGGTAGCCACTGATTGGTTGTCTGAAAATGGCTTAGAAACAACGGCCAACTATATTTAGTGTATATCTTTAAAGGCAGGAAGTATTCCCTCAACCTTCATTCCCAGAAACAAAATTTTAAAAAGGCCTTTGCGCTAGAGAAGAGGAAGGAACTTTAAGAATTGTCAAGAAAACTTTACACACATACACATAATATATAATTGTACACATAATTATGTATATATATAATTTAAAAATTTATTAAGAATTTTAAAACTGTATCAAGAAAACTATACAACACACACGTAATTGTATACATAATTATGTACATATAATTAAAACTTATTAAGAATAATTTAAAAAGAATGATCAATGCGTATTTTTTGAATTATTCTTTACATGCTTTTTGTTATGTTTGGAAAACAATTTTTTTTTTTTTTTTTAAGAAGAAACAAACTTTAAAAGATACAGACCTGTGGTAGGAATAAAATCCTCTAGTTAAGTTGGGAGCCAAAGTAGAGAAGGAAACACAGGTAAGACAGTGAGCAAAGAAGAAAGGAAAAAGGTAGCAAAATAAGCATTAAGACCAAATTTGAAACTGAAAATTTAAAATATAAGAGCATTAATGCCAGTGACATAATATTGTTAAAGTTAAAATCTCAAGTAAGAAGAATACTCTAAAAAGGAAACTCCATCTTGTGGTGGAGTCTCAAGTATATATTTTATAGGCAAATTTTCATTTAAAAATATAACGAAAGAAATATGCTTGTAGAAAAAGGCAGGCCCAGCATAGAAGCATCTTAGATAGAGCAATATCTCCACCTTGTGACTATTTAGGATGTTGTCACTAAAATTTTAATAAAGCAGTGTTGCATTTTCGCAACTCTAGTTATATAGAAACCACTTTTTTTTGTACTTCCCTCAGGACTGGAAGAAATTAAGCTGAAGAATTATGCTTCATACTAAACAGGTTTTACCCCGTCCTAAAAAAAATTAGCAATATTACTTTCTAGAGCTTGGCAGGATAAAGAATGATACAACTTTCTCTTGAGAAGGGTTTGATACTATCAAAACTATGGGATCTATGAAGTTTTAGACGTTATGACTTTAAAACCCAAAATATGTGAACTCTAATCATTCAATTCACCAATGTCAAAGACATTAATGAAGTTACAGGGAGATCTAGAAGATAACTAATTCTTAGTCATGGGTAAACAATGCGTTAATGATTGTTCTCTGAATTCCCAGAACATTTCCATAATTAATTATTCCTTCAAGAGACAGTTTTCAGTAATAAGTGCTACCTGTTGTGTAATATTTTTATTTTCTCCACTGGGCTTCAAATGGACAGCTTTAAATTTCTTAGCTTACAGTAGACACTTTAGAATTACTGTTATTAAAAAAAGTTAATTAAAAGATTATTGGTCAGGCGTGGTGGCTCACCCTGAAATCCCAGCACTTTGGGAGGCCGACTTGGGCAGATCATGAGGTCAGGAGATTGAGACCATCCTGGCTAACATGTTGAAACCCCATCTCTACTAAAACTACAGAAAAAATTAGCCGGGCGTGGTGGCGGGCGCCTGTAGTCCCAGCTACTTGGGAGGCTGAGGCAGGAGAATGGCATGAACCTGGGAGGCGGAGCTTGCAGTGAGCCGAGATCATGCCACTGCACTCCTGTCTGGGTGACAGAGCGAGACTCCATCCCCCCAAAAAAAAAAAAAAAAAAAGATTATTAAATAATGCTATTAAATATATAAAAATCGGAGAAAGCAGCCATATCTACTTGTAGCCTGAAGATCAGCTACTTGTAACAAGAGAATAAAGATTAAATTAATCACACAAATAGTTTTGAGTTTCTGTTTTGTACAAGGCTCCATGGGTGATTCAAACACAGGATCCTAAGGATCAAAATACTGTA